ACTTTGTCCAAAAGGACGAACCTTCAGGGTTACACCGGGGAAGAGAGACTTTTGTAAAAGAGAGTACAGTTTTTGTTTTTGGGGTAATCGAACACTGCTAGACGATTTCGATAACTAGAACTCTGTTGACTCATCATGAACTTGGAACTTTTTCTGTTGCTTTTTTTGTATGTTTAATTACGAATATTAGATTTCTACACACAAAAAAACAGTGCCCCTGCCCTGAAGCATCTGGAGCAGAAATAGACCAAACCGAAGATGGGGACAACATGATCAATACCAGACAAGGAATTCCCTTAGCACAGTCATTGTTACCCAGCTCTTCGACCTTCAGTTGCCCCGCCTTTTTTAATATCTAGTAACGGTCTGGTAAGGAGCGATGAAGGATTCATACACTTTGATCAAACACGATACAATATAGGAGAATACAATAATACAATAAAGTCCCCTTAAACTCTTGAACTTAACAAAGGACGTAACTCATGGTAGTTTTTGTACACACATGGCTCTTATTACTGTGCAAGTGCACTTATTATGGAGATAACATTCCATCTGAGTCAACAGTGATAGAATGACACCAAGTGCCCACATTGAATTGATAGATGTCATATTGGCTCAAAATAATCCAACATCGTAATCGATAATACGAGTCAATTATAGAAACCTGAGAAGTTTCTGGGACACTTGAATAAACAAGGGAAAGTTGGGAGGACTAAAACGCAGGTAAACTGGGACGAGACCCATAAAAGTGTATTTTGGGGGGGGCCAAAATTAAATGTACTGTAATGAATCTATTACTTATCACGATACCATTTGACCGCTGTTGACTCTTATCAACTTTTATTTCCGTTTTCAAGTTCCAAAACCGTCCAGTTTGGAAAATGTTTTTGTTTTTTTCAAGACCAGTTTCTGTCTCTCTGCATCAAATGTGCTGAACTTCAGCTGAAGGTCAGCATTTTTTATACAGCTATTGTTATATCAACTTTATAAGCAATCATGTGGTACTGAGTACTATCTCATAAATAAAAGGAAAAATCAAACTTGGTGTCTACCCATGACCAGGAAAATTGGGACACTGTGTCCCACTTTACCCTCCGGTGTCCCAGTTTCCCTGCAGCAAAAAGATCAACTTATCCAGTGCAAAATTACTACTATGTACATCGTGATGGAAAAATTTGGCCGTCAGCAGCAACTGATCAATAACTGCTAGAAAGAGACAAATCAGCCTTAGCTCTTTCCACCTCAACCTCAGCTCCTTCCACCTGTAAAGCAATGTCCCACTTGACCCCAATCACCTTCCCAATTTACCTGCCAATGTCCCAGTTCACCATGTATAATTCTATTATTAATTTTAAAAAATAAATGCATAATCTTAGATAACATGTTATTGTCCTTTGGATGTTGATTCATACTCAACTCATATCAGGTCTACATCTTTTCGAAATCTCCACTAAATGCTAGCTCTTACGAAAAATCGAAGGCAAACGAGGTAGAGGTGCACCCCCAGAGCAACCTACCACTAGGAGAGTCTGAACAGATAGGTGACGGGGAAAGATCAGGATAATGGAGCTTTTTGAGAGCATCCTTTCAAAGGAATGACCGGAGACCGATAATCACTAATGTCTGTCACAGACTTGGCATTTGATGATGGTAGTAACCTTATAGTGTTTCAAGTTCCCATTGCCATCACATAAGGTGCAGGATAACGGTTGACATTTTTGGCTGGTGCATGAAAGATGTCTAGTTCGATTCCTTTTTTGGGGCAGTCTATTCTATCGTTCTGCTGCCATGATACTTACTCGCAGCCCGAGCTGACCCTGAAGTAGCCCTCGTCCCAAATGACCCAAAACTTGTTGATGTACAGTGAATCATACAACCACGTTTGGTTGTTGTTGTTGTTTTTGTTTGTTTGTTTGATTGTTGCTTTTTTT